CAGAGATCGCAGCAAAGGGAAGAAGAGAAGAAAGTACGACCGAGTGCGAGTAGGATCCAGTAGGGCAAGAAGACAAAGACAGCTTCACCCGCGGATGCGCAAGAACTTACCGCCGCTTGCGCGGTTCTCGGATGCTCTGGAGGCCTCGCAGCACTCCGCAGCATCTGATCTTCACGTGGCCAGATTGCAGCCACCAGGGGAGACTTCGTTTCAAGTCTCTTGAGGACATTATCAACACTGCCTTGAAATCTGCAGTGGGGAAAATTGGGCACAGTAAGTAACGCAGACACGAAGGCTGTCTTTCTTTACCGACCTATTGCTGAAAGGGTCCGTCGTTACCGGACACGTGCAAAGCAGTCGTCAGCTTCACGCCAGTCCTCGAACAGCACCGTTTTTCTCCAACCAAGCTGCCTGATTCTGTGCAAAAGCAAGCAAAAGAGCAACAGACTAAGAGCAGAGACCACCGCCAGGGGCTTTCCGAGCTTGGCACCGTCTCGGCCTGCTCCTGATCCACGGCCAGATCCAGGGCTGTGGCCCCGTCTCCGCGCTTGAAGTTCAGGTCGCAACCCAGAGACTTCAGAAAGTCAAGTGCCTGCAGTAAACCGCTCGTTCCTCCCCGCTTTATCTTGGCAGACTTTCGCTGCTATTCGAGCTGGGCCTCTGGCCTGGGTCTGGCCGAAGCTTGCTGCTACGTGGACGGGGGTGAGGCCCAAGCACATATCGCCGTCCGCTGACAAGGAAAAAGCGGGAGCCGTTATTGCCTCAGAGGTCGAAGGCCAGCCGCTACTGCAGCCTTTCAACATCCAGCCAGTGCTCCATGCGCAAAAAACTGGAACATAGCTTCCCCCTTTTCAAGTGTGACGAGAACTGGGACTTGGATGCGGCCCTGATTCGTTGATGTCGGCTCCATTGTCATGCAGCCACTTTAAATTCCTGAAGGCCGGAGCCCATGGAAAAGCCATCCAAGATTCATAACTCATACTGACTCATTGAATCCTGATGGAGTGCTGAATGCAAGCATGGCTCTGAATGTGGCCGACCTCTGCTGCATGATGGGTCGCTCTCTCTCCTGCAAGGACTCTTCTCCAGCGACGTCATGGCCATCCCCACGGCCCCCTGGACCGCATCTCCTGTGTCCCGCAGCGGTGCCTGTCACTCCATAGGCTGAAGCATCATGAAACGGGTGGCAGCAGCCAGGCGCACATCTATGGCACCGAGAATCTTTTCGGTCTCACGCAGCATGTCACAAAACCTCAGCCATGCACTCGGCAACAACTTCGCGCATGCCGGAGAGAGAGGCGCGGACCGCTTCCAAGCCTCCAGAGCCGCCGAGTCACCGTCCTTGCGACCGGACCGACCGGAGACCGGACCTCACACTAAAAGAGATGGCTCAACCGCTCGGCCTGGGCGTTAACAAAGGCAAAGTGGTACTTCTCCACGACCTGACACAATCTGGGCACTGGCAGTTCATTATCCTCAAAACCTCGTGCCTCTGGCGTCAAGTCTTCGCCGAAGAGTCTGGCAGCACCGTCCTGGCGCCATCCAGCTACTCTTTCCACTGCCAGTTGCCAAATCGAAGCTTTCGGCCAGGTCCTTCGCTGTCTTCGACTGTGCTTCTGCTGCGTTTGCTGCTTCGCAGAACCTGAGTGGCATGGATCCGGGACAAGGTTGGAGTCACAAGCAGAACGGGAGGGTTAGATGCATTGCGTTAAGGTAATATGCTCTATCTATCAAGCCGCGCAGATGTTCTTTCAGGCAGTGCACAGGCACGCTTTCGACATTCCAGACAAACAGAGGACTTCCAAAGCTTTTTGACATACACACACACACACACGGACACATACTTGCGAGGTGTCTGCTGCTTCTGTACACCTAGCAGTAATGTACCAGACTCTGCACCAGCAGGCAGATTCGCACCGTGACTTCCAGGAGACGCGTTGCGAGTGTTTTGGCTCGACTCGGACACACTGCAAGTGAGCGCGGTGAGCGCATTCGCGGTTTCGCAGAACGTTGCTCGGGCTGCAGCTTTGCGAACTTGGGATCGTCGTAGAAGGGTCGTCCTAGGCTTCCCTAAACCCAACTGAGAGCTGACCATGCTGACCTCTCTCACGACGGGGACCACAAGGCCTTGAAGGGTCTCGCCATGTTCCAGGCGCCATTTTGCAAGCTGAAGCTGCTCCGTGGAGAGCTTTGAAGCCATCGCAGCCTCAAAGAGCTGCGAAGCTTCGATGCTTGGATTTGGCCCAATTCTGCGAAAGTCTCGGTTGCAGCTGCCTCTCGGGGGCGGCGCAGCACAGCGCCGCGGTGCCGCGGATTCTACGGCTTGAGGGGCAAAGAGCCAAGCAGTTCTCAGAAAGCCGACTCAAGATGCAAGAGCACAGGGTCCGAATAGCTTGCAGATGTGAACAGCCCAAGTAGAATTCTGGATGCTCCAAGTGCCAAGATTCCGACGATGGCTGCTTCTCGGTCCAGCCGAGCTTGCTCTTGCAGCGTTCGTCGCTTCTCCTTCAGCCATAGAAGCTGCCCGTAATAGCACGACACGAGAACTTTCATAAATTCGCGGTCCTCCTCGAGTTCGAGGTTATTTCTCTTTCGCATATCTTCTTGACGGAGAAATTGTTCATGCCTCAGGCAATCGTGGTTTTCATCCCTCCGACAACTATCCTACATCCCTGTGTCCCGGGACGACGACTGCATGTGCAGCTGCTGATCAATTTGTTTCTGTTGATCCTGGCAAGATGTGCAACACCTTGAGACAAAGCCCGACATAGTTGTTGTAGGCTACTTGCAACTCACCGCGTTGGCATTGACAGTCAAGCCCGACGCCTCAAGCTTGCTCTGGTAGAGCTCGCTGTCCAACCGGGCCTCGCAGGATAGCAGCAGCGGATGGGTTTTCCAGCAAGGAGCGGTGCACCGTTGCACCTTGTACTCCGCCGTCCTTCTTTCCTGCTCCTGCTGGTGTGAGATTGTCTTCCTGCAGTGGAGAAGTGACTGGAGCCGGTGCTAAATTTGCAAGAGAGACGAAAATGCCAGGGGGCCTCTTCTCCTCTGCATCCATCTGATTCCGCTGAAGCATCGCCTGAGGAGTGCACGACCCACGTGTCGAGGCTCGCAACCGTGCGGTCCGAGGCCAGTCCTGCTGGCGCATAGTCTGTTGCTGCTCGATCTCCTTCTGCAGCTCCTGGTAGCGAGCCATGCAACAAACTGCCAGTCCAATTCAATTCGCTGCAACCGAGCCCGCGTGTCGAGGGGCCCCAGCCTCAAATTCGGGAACCCGAGTCTCACTGTTTGGGTCAGAGAGGCAGCAGTGGAGCCGACTTGGGGCCGGGATTGCGGATTCTGGACGGCGCTGGTACAGGAAGGCATCATGGCGGGCTGCAGAGTGGCAGCAGGTCGGGCACTGGCATGCTGTGTGCATCTAAATGCCCTCGCGGAACACGCTCCATGCACAGCCCAGGATGTGGTAGGTAGGCCTTGGTAGGCGTTGTGAAATCGAACATGAAAATGTGTTCATGTCCTGCTGCTTCGTCTGCTCCGCCATCTTCGTGAGCTCGAAGGCCTCCCATTTCGGAGGTCACTCTCATCGGTTGGAAGAGGGGCAATACAGGGTACCTTTGTAGCATTCGGAGAGGTGTCAAGCTCCCGGAGAGCCTTTCAGTTTCGGCGTGAGCGCTTTGCTCGACAACAGCACTCTGAGACAGGTACCGCTGCTCCCCTCTCGAGGGCGGAGGGGTCGAACTTGCCCGTGATGGACTCTGCCTGTGGCATGGGATTTCATCTCGAGTCGCAAAGCAATGAAACGGTGCCAGCGAAGTACCAAGCCCTTCCGAAGAAACGTATTGTTTCCCATTCGCTTGCCATGCTAAGCTTGCCAACCTTCTTCTCATCTTTGGCAGAGCTGCTTGAGCTTTTCGGGTAAATCCTTGCGTGTTGGACGCTTAGTGAAGACATTGCATCACAACACAGACCAATGCCGAGATTTCGGAACAAGGCGAAGTAACAGGCCGGGCTGACATGGCGGCAAACTCGCTGTGCCACGGGAGATGACAGTATGAGACAGTAGTCGATCAAACTTCGTTTCTTGCTTGGCTGTCGGTCACCGATTCGAAACCACTTGCTCACTTGCCTTGGGTTTGGGTTGCAACCAATGCTGAAGCCAGGTCAAGGGTTGTCGCGAAAACTGGCTTGCCGCATGGCGACGTGAGGGGATACAGGTTCACAACCTGCAGCTTCTGCCTGGCAACAATGTCACTCTACGTGACCCACACTTCCTACATTTTAAGTTTTCCCCAACCGATTACATTTCTGTCCAGCTGGCCCAAACCCCTGAACAGATAAAGCTGGATCAGATGCTGGGCAGCGATGTGGGGCTGTTTTGCATCGCATGGAGCCTTTCGGACACGTCCCGGGTCGATTGATCTGTTTCACCAACCGTAGAAGACCGGGTGCTAGCTACATGCCGCAGGCACCTCATCCCCGATCAGCCTGCTCATGCACGAGAAGCTTGTCGGAATCTGGATTACAGAAAGGATTCAACAAACAGAGATGCCAACAAGCAAAGCGCTAAATTGTGAAACGCTTGGCCATGTGTTACAGTTATGTTGGAATGATGACATCGCAGCGAGACAAACAACACACGCAAGTAGACCACAATAGTCTTGTCGTGCTTCCTTTGATGGCCATGCGATGCAACGGGTCTGGCGATCTGCTTTGCAGGCCACCGTCATCTGGTAATCTGCGCTGAGCTGGTCACTCACACAGCTCTGCCAAGGCGCTGCATCCTAATGCAAAGGAGTTCGTGTCACCGCGTTCACGTTATGACTTGTAGGTGCAGCTAGTATGGACCGCTGTGCGGAGAAGCCAACAGCAAGCCTCGGACACCCCGCGGTATGGGAGCTGCAGATGACCTTGCACAGACAGGTTGGAGCTGGAGCACCCCCGTCGGCAGGCCAGAGGGCGGGCTCTGAGTCCTTGGCCAAAAAGGGCCTTCATCCTAGTCACTAGTCTTGTATTCTTGCCACAGTTGGCGCCTGGAAAACACGGACTCGAAGGCACCGAAAACATGATAAAGACTCTGGCCTGCTTTCGTTCGCCAGGGAGCTTTGCCTTCATGCTTTGAACAGCCTTGCCAGTCTCACTGCTGCATGCAGAAACTCGATGAAGTTGAGTCATGTGCAGAGGCAGTACAGTGAAAGTGTAGAGGAGCGCACGAAAAGACACACAAGCTCTGAGATGCCTCAGCATTCTTTGTGTTCAGGTCATGAAGTCGTCGAGTCTGTTCAGACTCGGCCTTATCAGCGGAGCATTGGCCGCTGAGAGCAAATCCAACTCAAGGGTGATCTCTGACAGCCCTGCCTCCCCTCCGAGCGGATGCAGCTCACCATCCATGGAATCTGCGGACCATGGGCCCTTGTACGCCGAACCATCTGCGTATACGTACCTCGCGGACTTCAGGTGCAAAACGGATACTTGGAGCACTGCTGAACGACTGGACAAGCGAAATGAGTGGACAACCCGTTTGGGGGCACATGCCATCGCCCTCTTTTCGCCCTGTCTGCAGACCACCTATGTACTTGTCGCCGTTTGCAAAGAGGACGATGGACTTGCCTGTGTGCTGCTACCAAAGGCTATCGGCATGTTTGGAGCTGAACGGAGTCTAAGAGAGGGCTGCTTCGCTCTCTGCACTTTGCTCGCCAGATCGGTAGCCATCGTAAAGCTACACGAGCTACATGATTGCACCCATGAAGCATCTTGGACGGCGGCAGTCTCCGGTGCCGTCCAACTCTTCGGCTAGCCTGGGCATGTCTAAACCCATCGAAATGGCGGTCAGCAGCGCGCCTTTGACACGGCACGCATGCCCACTCCCCCTTGTTTTTGACCGCTTGGCAGAACTCAAAGACACCGACGGATCTGTCCACTTGGCCACCGTACTTCATGGCTTTTAAGCCCCGATCTAAGACACCATCCGGGATTTGCTGCTTCTGGAAGCCGACTTCTGTTGGACTCCCCATGGCTTTGGCGAAACTCTCGAGGAAGACGGTCTGGCCACGCCCGTGAAGGCGACCAGGGTCTGTGGTGATCACCGCCGCTCCACTCTTGGCAGCCACACCAAGGTGCCGTCCGAGTGCTTCCGCAAAGTCCTCCTCGTAGAGAAGGTCGGAAGCCACAACGATGTCAGGCTTGAGTTCGAGGAGCCTCTCTGGGGAGTCCAGAAAAATGTCGAAGATTAGCGTCGAAATCTCGCCGCCGGACTGCATTGCCGCTGCGGTGAGGACCAGTTGGTGGGCCAGTAGGGAGACGTCCGTGCATGTGACACGAGCCGAGCAGCGATGGGCGGCCAGGGAGGGAAGGCCCGTTCCGCTTGCCAATTCCACAACATGCACGTCTCCTTAGCCAGCCATGCAAAAAGGGTTAATCGAAGCTGGCAAGCAATGTGGCATCGGCCACTTCACCACAGCTCCTAGTTACTCGTGCGTCGTCTGACTGCCCTGTGGCTCGAGGTTCAGTTATTCGGGATCCCCGTGAAGGAGCTTGACCCTAGAGACATCTTTCAGGCCTTGGTGCCGTATTCCGTTCGAGGTCGATCCCTGCACCCAACATGTCCACTGCATGAGGCTGAAGGGGTCGCGGAAGCGACTTTCAGGGCAAGAGGGCTGAATGCAAGCCATGTTCTGTCTGCTTGGCCGGCAGCCCTCTTTAGATCTATTGCTCGAAGAACGGCGCGAGCTGCCAAGAAAGAGGCAGGCCAGAACAAGCCGCTGTACCTGAGACAGCGAGACGAAGACGAGTCGCGTGAGACAGCATGCTGCAAGCAAACTCCCGGATCCGATCAGGTTTTCAGTCGCGTTGCAACATGCTGGTGTACATTGAGGCTCGCAACTCCAGGCCGGAGGAATTTCTACTCGGCGCCGGGGTGTATTGGTAAGTGACGTACTGAAGCAGCGAGGAGAGCAGACGCGGGTCAGCCAGATCCGCAAGCTGGACCACTGCCACTGGTTCTTGCGGAAGTTCTGAATCGAAGGATATTTGGAAACTCTCAACCTCTTGCTAGCACGGTCTTGGAACCCTGCAGTTTTATGATGACAGTCCCGTACCGGATTCCCCGACCCTCCTGTGCCTTCGGGACAAAAAGATACTCGCCATACTGTGGCGGGTGTGTCGTTGACCCAAAAGCACCCAGGCCGCGGCATCCAGACAGCAGCCACAGAGGGACCTGCCGGAATTTCGTCATGCTTCTCTTGAATCGTGCTTGGAGCTGTCAGCCTGTGGCAGCATGTCTCGCAGCCCCGAGAAGCCACGCCAAAAGCGTTGCCTGATCGGGTTCAAGCCCTTTCAGGGTTCGAGCTCTTTTCTGGCATTCTGGCCTGGAGTTGGTTCGAAGGTAGACCTCGCGCTTCACGTAGAAACGATGAAGCCTTCCTGTCAGGAAGCAGCGACTGTTCCCGCAACCCCCCGGAATCTTGCAGTTGCGCTCTGGTGACTCCTTCTAGGAAGAGGAAAGGATCATCCTCCCGGAGCACGAGGAAATCTTCATCCACATAGCTCACGGTCCTCAGTGGAACGGAGCGAAGCACGTGGGTTCTGGGATGCCGCTTTCCGAGGCGGCCGAGGTGCACGCGGGTGGAGCTTTCCGTGCTTGCCGTGACCGAGACCGGCGCTCCCGGGGCAACAGCGAGCTGCAGTGGTTGCTTTGTCCTCCCGCTCCTCGGAGGAGCCGCCACAAGAGAGACAGAGAGAGATGTCTCTCACTTGTGAGAAGCCCGCATGCAGTTGTCGGCTGAGCTGCCAAGTAGCCAAGTTTCGGCATTGCCCGCTGCATCTCCCAGCACAGCGTGGCATTCCAGGTCCAGTCCCTCAGAGATGTCCAGCCAGACCTCGCCACTTATTCGGGTCGTCACTGTATGGCATTCTCAAAAAAATGGATCACCCCTCCACTTGTGACTCTTCTTGCACTCAGGCGGCTGAACGAAGCACACGACCTTGCAAAGATGCTCCCATGCAGGCTGCTATCCTGGAAAGGAGGGGCCAGCTAGCGGCCAGCAGATTGGACCAAGATCCGCCATGAGAGAGAAACTGCTGCCAGGATGCAGCATCGGTGGACGGGAGCCTGCCGTGTCCCCTCGCAGCAGGCAAGGTGCTTTCCGGAGAAACTCCATCTCAGGCACGCGAGCCTATCAGCGTCCAGTTTCCAGGCAAAACCTCCCGCGGAGATCCCATCTGCAAACCCTCCAAGTGGGCGATCTGTGCAGCCACATCCTCGAGGTTCCCTGAACCAGCAAAGCAGCCGAAATACTGTAGAAGCTTGGCCTTTGCCTCGGCAGAGTCACGTCGCGACCTCAAAGCAATCCTCCGAGCCGTCTGGCACATGTGGAGCATTTGGTTCTTTCTCAGGCTCCACCGGGATTGTCCGAAGACCAGACACATTCCTATTCCGGCTGTGCCTGCAGCGGTAGCTGAGCCATTGCCGTGGTTGGCACGATGCTTCGAGAACCGGTACGACCAGCGTCTTTGGCATGGCCGCAGAAAGTCCGGATGTTTGCCGCCGATAAGGTGCAGATGCAGCATGGGCACAGCATGCACACTCCCTTCTCTGCTCGATTGCCCTCAGACCAACAGAGAGCATTGGGGCAGCTAAATTAACAGCGAGCCCGGCAGCGGTATGCTCATCCTACTTGAATTCAGCAGCCAAGTGCATGGGCTTGGGCGGGACGCGGATTCCGAGAATTTGCAAGCCTTGCATGCGATTCTGAGGGTTCCACGTTTGTGGAATCGCATCTGGGCGCTTGGTGGCCACGAAGACTCTCCTCAGCGAACCACCACAATTACTTACAAGTCGCACCTTATCCGAGTTTCACTTCTTGATAGCCACTGTGACTAGTAGCAATGGAATGCCCAATTCCAATACACACTTTCAGGCGAAACATCAGGAGCTACTACATCGGCGTGGCAAAAGCTTGCTGCTCCCTTCGTTGGGCATCCTTGTAGTGGGCGTATGTCGAATGACGTGTTGCAGTGATGTGGCACTTGTGCAAGAGGACGAGTGTTCCGAAAGCATCCGCATTTCGTTCTCACAAGCGCATAGAAAGGGATTTTGCACAGCATGTGGATCCAAGGCCAGAAACATCTGCTCACCTTGGTCTCTGCTGTTTCGGGGTTCTTGCTCAGCTCCCGCGGTCTCTATCCCTACAAAGACCCGAAGCCTTGAACTTCACACACACAACACTCTGTAGCTGCCATCTCTCTTTGGCCCAGTATCTGCTCGGACGGACCACGAGGATCCACCTGCACATGTTCAAGCGTGCAAAGGAGATGAAACACAAAGCTTGCACAAGCGTAGCCTCTGCAGAGGAAACGATCATTTCTATCAGCTCCTCTTCGAGCCTGCCAGAAAGCCCGTCCTAGCTACCCAAAGACTTTCAATCGCTTCCAGCTGAGAAGTGCCTTCCCTTGTTCCAAACACCAACCACCCTCGTTCCGCTTGGGTCCGTCAGGACACCGCGGCCATGCTCCTGGCTACGGCACGATCTCAGCATCTGCAGAAAAGCCCTCAATCGAAAACTTGCCTCTTCCAACTAACAAGGTGGGGTGGTGGTCCTGATCTTCCAGGAGCTCGCCGACATACACGAGCCCGTTGGTGTATGTCTTCTTCCCGACCTGCCATGTCTGTAGTTTCTGACGGAACTCTGGACAGAATCGCTTGGACACGCCGTCCCAGCCTTGTTACAGACGTTGTTTTCAAAGACTCCTGTAAGGGTCACGCCGGAAGACCACCTGCAGGTCGCTCCAACAAGATCGGCGCTGCTGATGCGGAGCTGCACTGCATTCCATGCGAACGACAACATCCGCATCCACAGGCGTGTAGTTTTGCAGTTGTGGGTCTGAGTCTCAGGCGTGTAGCAGCCCAGGCCATTGAACAGAGAGTCCTGCAAAATTCTACATCACCACATTGTCGAAAGGGTCAAGACACAGGAACTACGTGTAACAGATACCTGCGCCAACCTGCCTTGAATTCACCTGTGTACTGGTCGTTGGTGATGAAAGTGATGGTTCCACGGCCCTGGCTTGAGAGACCATGGAAAGCTTTGTTAAGGCCTGAATCACTCGAACCTGTTAAATGCTAAACATCGCTAAACTAACATGAACCGGCTCAAAGCGTATTGAAATCGGTCTCATGTCTTGTAGCAGGATTTGACGTCCCTGTTATCAACCATGGCAATCAAAAGCTGCACACCTCCATGTTGCCAGCATGGAACTCGCCCGAATAAATCGAGCCGCAGCTTGTTGTGAGGGTTCCCTGGCCAGGTTCGACAATCGCAAAGAATTTGGACCATGTTGCAGTCAGCCTGGCCACTCATCTCTCCAAACTGCCACTGCCCACGGTAGATGTTCGCCTGCGACGTGGCTTTCAGTCGCGAGACTGCTTCCGTCACTGCGAGTGTGAAACAGTTCACCACATTGAACTCGGGCTGAGAAGCCTTGTCTGGCCACTCAAATGTGCCTTCACCATGGTACAAACCATTGAAGAACCTCGACGGGCACGGATTAGTGGGGTTTGGCCGCTTGGATTGTGCCACGAATAAGGCCGTCTCGTCATGTGAGGTCTCTGAGCTGGGCACTCGCCGACGTATCTAGCCTGAATGCAACGTGTGCCTTTCTTGAAGGCTTCACGAAAGTTCCTACTGCACATGGCAGCCTTCACGGACCACTCCAGCACACCGTGACCTTGAAACACGTTGTGCTCGAAGGAGCCCTGTAAAGACGCAGCGTCTCTCAACCCGACTTTCAGGACTCATGGGCACAGTCCTTGTAGCGGCACACACCGAAGTCATCTGTCCAGCAAAGCATGCCCTCGCCGTGCATCATCTCATCCTCCGGAGCGATGCTTCCACCTGTGCTGGTGCCTCGTCCTAGCGACCCTGAGTCCTGGAACTGGCCGATGTAGCGCCGTCCGTCGGGCCACTGGAACACGCCGTACCTTGCGTGCATATGGACTGGATGCCTGCTGTCTCAGAGCTGTCTGCACAGAGAGCGCACTTGTGAATGCTGTTGTTCAGCAGAGTACCTGGGTGCCAAGGCTTGCATGAGAGGGGGGAGACCTGGTGCATTCAGTCCCATCCCCGGTTCGGAGCCTGTGTACATGCATCCGTTCGCCCACTTCTTTGTGCCCTGGGGGCCAGAAAGCGCTCGAGAAACTGAAGCCGAAAGCCTCACGGCCCGTGTTTGGGCCTCTCCGGTCGCTCCGTGGTTTTCGAAGACTCCTGTGATCCTGGTGCCGTTGGGGAACCTGGCACCAAACGATCGGCTCAAGTCAGGCTGTTGCTGCACCTAGAGCGCCTGTGACAGCCGGGTCCCACAATCTCACTGTTGTGCCATAGCCCTTCAAATTCGGTGCCTCGCATTTAGCAGAACATGGCACAGTGGGGCTTGCAGCATCTTCAGCCACTGGATGGGCGAACCGTCGGGCCAGTGGAAAGTACCGCGGCCCTCGAGCTCGCTGTCGTGGAACTGCCCCTGACCAGAGACATCTTGATGCAGCGTGTGAAAGCTGGCACTCCGCCTACCGAGTGAATGCCGCGAAAGACCCCAAACAATAGCGTGGCATCATGCCTAGTGCTTGGACTTCCCCCAGGGAGTCGGTGCGTGATGCACTGAAAGGGCATTTCGACGTCGGAGGTTTAGTCTGAGCTGTTAGATGGCCCTACTTTGGAGCTGATGCTAGTGGAGGGTCGCAGCAGCTGGACCGCCGAGTTAGAATTTGTTGTTGGGGTGGTTCGGCAGTGTCTTGGAATAGTGAAGGGCAGTGGGAGTCCTCCCATGAGTTAGATTTTCGAGGGCCGGCGAAGGGTTGGCGGTGCATGTATTGCAAGTTGGTCATACGACTGCAAATGGGTGAAAATTATTGGCATCGCTTGGCTAAGGTGTGTTGTAGATCCTCTTGCAGTGTTCTCTCCCAGTAGCTCCACGCACACGGGCGATGGCTTGCATGCCCCTGAAACGAGTTATGGCTGGCAAAGTGGAACCACCTAAGCACTTGATAGGCAGCGAACCCGAGACCCAAGCCGAAAACCGAGTCACCGAAGGCCAACCCTCAAACCTGAACATTGTGGCAACTGGCGAATCTCAAGCTCGAAACGAACCCTGATGGCTAGCAAGCCCATCTCATGAAAGTGATGGCTGGCAGCCACTGTCACGAACCTGACCCAAAACCTGGCGTCAAACGAGGAGTTTGGCTGGCAGCATCTCTCGCCTGAACCCCACTTCAGTTCATAGAGTTTGTGACGGCACAGTACTTGTTTGGCAAACCACCTCGTGAGATGCGAGAGTCACGTGCATGTCCGTCGTGAAGGAGATTGCTGGGACTGGCACAGTCAGTACAAGTTGAAACCCAAACAGAGGAAGACAACAAGCACAACCGGAAAACGTAAACGGTTACACACACCAGACAAGGACGAAAAGAAACAGAAGGCCGCGCGAGAGATGTTCGACTGCGGCACAGAAGCGGCCTCGAACCAGGAGCCATCTGGCAGGGTTTTCTTGCCCTTGCCTTCTATGCAATTGTGCTGGAAGTCTCCTCAGTCCAACGGCAAGGGCAGATGACATTCACTTTATCATGCACTCACAGAAGGCATGACCGAAGTCTGCGCGCCTTTGTAACAGGAGCCATCAGCCCAGGTCAGCTTGCCCTTGCCCTCTCGGATGCCATCCTGTCGAGAATCCAGGACAGGATCCTGACATGTCGTTGAGCAGGTACTCGAGCTGCACCTTCCAATCGCCATCATACTCGATGCCGTTTGGCCACTTCACCTGCGCACGCAAACGGAACTCAAAGTACAGACTCGGTTGGCATCATTGCACGAATTGTCCCCAGGGCGATTCTGCTCGACTACTGGGCCTACTGTGTGTCTCCCGATGTGCTGGGCGTGCACTGACAACACGAGTTAGTGCCTGCGAAAGCCTTGCTTTGACATTTGAGTCCAGACGGATTCGGCAGCTGCTAGGCGGGCAGCAGAACTCGTGTCATCTTAGTGATGAGACGGCTACGTGTTGGCTTCATGGGTGCCCTCGTGTGGTCGTTCTGGATCCGCGGTTGTTTAATGGCCAGGTGTCCCCCTGTGGACAGAGCAATGGATCAAGGCAAACGCATCACTGGTAGGATTGTCTCGAAGCAACGTGCATATCCGCGCGGGATGGAGGGAGGGCAGCCTGTGGATGTTTCACAGGATGACATGTCGGTCATGTGTAGACGACACATACAAGCTCCCAGAAATAAACAATCTCGCAAGACTGCCAGGTTTGTAGAGTGGCAGGCCATCTCATGCTCGCGACAGCGTTGTCGCACGCAGCTTATTGTCATGTGCTTCCTGCATGGCCCGGCCTTTCCACGCCCATTCCTTGGAGCAAAAAAAAGATAGGCAGAACCGCAACACTCTCTGCAACCCCGATTCTGCGATGCCCTGTGTGCAGACGAAGCACATTCGATTTTGGAGCCACTGGCCGCTGTACACCCAGCCCTCCTCTGCACTTTCGAAGGTGCCCTGTCAGTGTTACTGTCTGAAGGCGGCGATTGGAACTTCGCTCATGTTTTCACCCACCTCGCCCTCCTGCATACCATGCTTGAAGTTGCCGGCATAGCGATCGCCATTTGGCCAAGTGCGAGTTCCCTGATGCACTTGAGAGGGATTTACACAGCGATGCAGGGCTTTACAGGTTTCCTGGCATGTTCCCCGGGCCTTGCCATGGAAGACGCCCTTCTTCAAGCTGCCGATGTACTCCTGGCCGGGCCGCACCGAGCTTTCAACCGGCGGAGAAGGAATTGCATGCGCCTCTCCAGACGGCCAGGACATCTTGCCATCGCCCCACATCTGGTCCTTAACGCGAGCGTGAGCCAACATGAAGCAGCCGCTGAGGCTTTAACGGGCCTTGCGCCACTCGCCGTCGTAGGTACGGCCGGTGGGCCAGGTTTTCTTCCCGTTGCCCCACATGTAGCCCTGCACAATAAAGACTTGCTGCTGAGGCGTAAACATGACCAACCTATATTTTGTTGTTTCGACGGCCTCATGGAACTCACCGAAATACTCGCTGCCGTCGCTCCAAATGTAGTGGCCCTGGCAAGTGGTCCGTGTGACATCCCCGTAGAAAAGAGAAGGGTGTGGCAAGCTGGAGCGTAATATTAATATTAATACGAATATTAATATGAATATGAATAATAATAAATAATAATAATAATAATAATAATAATATTAACAGTATTAACATAAATACTAATAATTACTAATACTATTAAGATGAGTCGAAGCCCTGCCTCGCCATGCATTCGGCCGTTGAGCCAGGTGCCAACCTCAAAGCCGGTGGCTCAAAGCCATGGGCCATGTTCAACACAGATCGGCGAGGCATGCACATAGGAGTTGCCGTTGGAGAAGATTCTCTGATCCTGATTGCAGGTTGGAGCGTTTTCAAGCCCTCCTACTCGCACTGGCAGCTCTCGCTCCTTGACAACTCTGTTGGTAGTCAACTTGTCACTATCTGGCTTCCTCGGAGTGACCTCGAGAATTCTCAGAATGAGAGCGGCGGAACAGGTTTTCTTAGCCGCCCAGCCCGGAGCTGAGCTGAAGGCAACGCCGTGATCGAGCCCTGAGCGCTTCTCAGAGATGAAGTGCTCGATGTTCAGCGTGTTGTCCTCAGGGCGCTTTCAAGTGAGACCGTCGACCGGACGGTCCACGGACGGTCACCGGGCGGTGGGGCCTTGCGATTCACGTGCTCGTCCGGTAACCTGCTGGGCACCTCGCAAGGGTACTGCGAGAGATGCTGGAGCGAACCCCGAGTCGAAGGCCACACGACGGGCCTGTTGTCTGCCACGAGCCTCACGCAAAGGAAGTCGAGTCCCATTGTAGCCGTCTGCCTGGGTGATTGGGCTCATGTTATGTTGAGGGAAGCACTGGAAACAGACACTCGCAAGCCGCGGACACGCGCAACTGTGGCCATGTTGGCTGCCTTTGACAGCAGGAGCATGCAGGACCACCAAGAAAGCCCGGAGACACGGCCCGGGGGAGGTGATGAAGCGCTGCAGACTTGAAGACCTGAGGCTCCAGGCAGGGCGTCGGGCAGGCTGCCACCCAAACACTGTGAGTTTGAGCCCCGAGAGACAGGCCAACAGGCCACAGCGGCAAACCACACCGGCATGGCCGTTTGTTTGGCATGGGGCTCAAACTGCCTAGCAACATCTCCTCCAAATGACCCTACACTCCTTTGCTGCGCGTTGCCATCCATCACTGTGCGCTTACAGGCTGTTGCTGCGCGCACTGCACTGCCTTTGGCAGGAACGGCTCTAGGCGTGAAACTCGCATCCAGCTCGGAGGCCTTGGTGCGCACGGGAGGTTTCCCCGCGCAGCGCTCAGACGGGCCCGAGGCAGCGCATGAAAGCGTTGAGGTGCCGGATCCTTGCCGGGCCGGGCCGTGCTCACATTGGAGATGGAAGCTCCGAAAACCGCAAAGCGTGAGCCCGTGCGGCATCGTGCGGCCGTGCGAGGCCCTCCAAGGCGGGAGCCCCATAGGCAGGCGTCGCACGGGGGAGTAGAGCTGCGGAGGTACCCGAGTGTACCTCGAAGCCGAAGACATGAAGTAATCCGGGATTTGGTCCAGTGGACTGAGGCCATGACCGCTTGGCACATCGGCCCAGCATCAGTCTACAAAGCCACAGGAGGAGTGGAATAGAGCAGGACACCTGAAGAGGCACAATCCATAGGCCATGCTGCCAACGTGACACAAGGCCCATCCGTGTGCGTGACCCGCAAGAGCTCGTTCTTGAAGCAGTCCTGTGGCATTTCTTGCTTGCTCGTGGAGCTGTTTCGTTTACGGGGCCAGCAGTCCTGCATCCAGTACAACTCGAAGATGGGCGGGATGTAGGTGATGATCTGCACATTCGGTAAAAGCAGTACAGTCTTGCGCTCGGGACATCCCACTTTAAGCCCCGAGGCCGCAGCAACCAGCCAAACGAAAAGACCCAAGCTCACAAGATCGGCAAGGTTCTCCTGCTACGAGCGAAACAGCAGACTAGCCAGTCTCCAGACTCTGCAGCACCCTGTGCAAATCTGCGGCAAGGCTCCAGCATGGGCAAATTCTTGCAGAAGAAGCCAGCCAGCTTCGACAACAGGCTGATCTTGATGAGCTTCTCCTTGCGAGATGAATTTGCATTGTGGGGATGGGCGTTGAATTTGAGAGCCCTGGATTGTGGTCAGGGGAGGATGGGAGGGAGAACAGCTCTAGTTTTGCCACGTACACGGCCACGTACGCAACGTGTCCCACCAGCACACAAGTGGGACAACCTGCGTTCGATCTGACTGCGCCGGCGCTTGCACACACCACATGTGCGTGGGGCAAAGAATCAAGAAACACACAGGCAAACACCTGCCATCTGCCATCTACTGAAGCCACATGATGCGGCGAAACCTCCTTCGTGTGCGAAGTGAAAGCAGCGGGGTCTTATTGGTCTGGCTAAGTCCCACTGGCCCCTGCAGAGAGGACATCAGTCCAATTTCCTACAGACCCTTCACTGAATTTCACTCTATCAGTCCTCACCCAGCGAGCCAAAGTAGCCCAAAGCCAGGCCCAGGATGAGCGCCATCCCAGCCTGGCGGCTCCGGCGGCTCAGTGTTCTGTCGCCTTGTGCTCCGACTGCCTGGGAGAAGTTGATGATCAAGCTGATGTGCAAGACAATCTCAGCGTGCTGGCAGAGCGCACAGTGTGAGCACCTCGGAACAAAGGGGCCCAGTGATGCCATGTGCACCATGCAAGTGGCACGTGTCGAAGCTGGGCCCGATTCGTGCACTCCTGAGTGCTCTCAGGTTGACTGCCCCTGCAGAGCAGAGGAACCAAGACTGTCGAAGGAATGGGGAAAGAAAGCATGTCTGGCCTGCACACGCTTCCGCCACACTGGACGATGCGCGACCGCAGCCCCGGCATGCACTGTGCAGGACAGTCAAAGTGAGGGCCGTGAGGGCGGAGCAACGGAGGTTCACAAAGCAAAGCACAAAGCAAAGCGAAGCAAAGCAGCTCCTGCTCAAAGCACTTGCATGTGGACCATGGGCCGACGGTCCATGGTGGTGCATCGCTGTTCACCTTCGGGCTCTGTGCTCGCGCACTCCGTCTCTCTGTACTTCCCATGGCCTGCTGAAGCTGCCTCTCAGATGAAACGTTCAAGAAGGATGCCTTAGAGCCACCACGCATTTATCCTGTTCTGGGCTGCTGGTTTCCTGAAACTCTGGGACTGCTGCCAACTCCGCTGGCTCTTGCCAGGATGGCGTCTTGCATGGAAGCTCTGTCCTGGTTGGTGCATGGACGTCTACATTCCCAAGTCTTGCAAGAACATCGGCCGAGATACGCTTCCGAAGTTTCCAGCAGATCCAGTCGCCTGCCGCCTGCGCACCCATTCCAAACTGTAACACCTATTTCCCAAACAAGCATCAGGTCGTGAAATTTCTTTTCACAGGCCTGTCGAGTTGCACCAGCCTGAAGTATCGAAATGCATCGAAGAACGCGGTGTTAGTAGCTGAAGTCAAGATGACATTTCTGGCTGGAAACAAACAATGCCATGGTGAAGTTTCTGCGTACACACACAAACCATACATATGGATAGATGGACAGACACACACACAGAGAGAGAGAGAGAGAGAGAGCAGGCGGGTAACTAGGCAGGTAGGTAGGTAGATAGGCAGGGCCGGCAGGCAGGCAAGTAGGTGGGTGGTTAGGTAGGTTAGGTAGGTTAGGCAGGCAGGTAGGTCGGTGGTTCGGTAGGTCGGCTAGGCAGCTTAGGTGGGTTATGCAGGTATGGTAGGTTAGGCAAGGTAGGTGAGGAAGGTAAGGAAGGTAAGGTAGGTCAGGTGGGTGAGGTATGGTAAGGTCTGGCAGAGTCTGGTCGGTAAGGAAGGTAAGCTGGGTAAGTAGGGGTAGGTAGGCAGTAGCTAGGCAGGCGGGGTCGGTCGGTGGGTGGGTAGGTAGGTAGAGAGAGAGAGAGAGAGAGTTTGTGTGTGTGTGTATGTAATACAACTCAATGTAAAATAATTGTAATGTAGCGTAGTGAATTGTAGCGTCGCACAATGTCATGTAACATAATAACCTCACAGCACGAGTAAGAGCAGGAGCAAGGGCAAGGGCAGGAGCAAGAGCAGGAACAAGAGCAAGAGACGCAGCAGGAGCAGAAGCAACAGCTGGAGCAAAACCCACAGCAGGAGCAGGATCCCCCAAACGTGACAGTGGAGATAATATTCTACCCTAATAACAAGAACGCTTTCAGAGCTGTTATCTGGGGGGCCCCGTTTAGGAGGAAGGGATTCATGGATGCACACATGTATGCGTGCGTTCCTGTGTACATGTATACGTGCGTTCGTATGCATGTATACGTACACGTGTGTGTGTGCGCGTGTGTGTGTATGTGTCTGTGCACGCACTCATGTGGAACAGCGTGCAATAGCCTAAGTCAAAGATGGCCATGGATAACAGCACTAGAGCAAAGGTGCACCCATGTATACAATACAGTCCAAGGTACATGATTGTATGCCAACTACTTCGAGAAGCCTAGCGGAACCTTGCCGAGAAGACTGTGTTTCCTGAGAAAGGGGACAAACACTGGCCAGAACATAAAAGCATGTGGTGCAGCGGCGCTAGGCCCCCCCTCCCCCCCCACCCCATGGTGTCCCCCCCTCCCTTTTTATGGTCCCCTGTGGTGTGGGTTCCTCCTTGCCCCTCCCCCTCCCCCGTGGTTGCTGTCGGCTGCACACCCTTGCATGGCTATTGCTGGTTGGGAGTCCGGTTGCTACGGGTGTGCACCTTATGATGTGATACAATTCCACTGAACTCCGACCTGCCCTGAGCTCCAAAGCCAATGAAGTGATGAATATGATGGTGATGATGATGACGAAGATGGTGGTCATGATCGATCCCCATCCGCACTGTCCTCCGGTCCCTTGCTCAAGAGTGCCGAATGAAAAACATTCAAACTCAAACACGTGCTCAAGCTTACTTTTAACGAACCCAACCGAAACTTGGCTTGGAATGACAACGGTCGATACAGTTTCCGCAATAACATCACAAGCCAAGCCCGATGTTCAACTAAATAAAGCAATTAACATTCGTGCCGAAGCCCAGACCAACATAAGAGCAAAGGTACCACCAGCAGCCACATTGGGAATAGCTTATCAACGTCATTGTGAACAACATCATCCCCATCATTCTCATCTGTGTTGAAGGGGAGGGGAAGGGGAAGGGGCCCTGTGGTTCCCTGTGTTGTGGGTTATCCCTCCACCGCCCCCGTTTGCCAAGGCGAGAGGCGAGAGGCCTGGCTTGGGGGGGAGTTACGCGGCAGATGTGTGACTGTTTGAAACGCGGCGACGCGGCACCATATAAGGGAGGCAGCACGGCTAGGCTTCCCTGTGGTTTGGGCTCCCCTGTCCCTCCCTCGAAGATGGTGATCATGATCCCCGTCCGCGCGCTCCTCCGGTCCCTTGCTCAAGAGTCCTGAATCAAAGTCATTCAGGCAAATGCTCGGGCTGACTTTTCACGCACCGTCGGTACAAACTACGAAAGGACATCAATCCAAGCAAGCCTTTTACACCAAAGCAGCAAAGGACATGCGGTACCTAAGGGCAGAACAGCATAATATAGCAGCGGTGGTACCAATAGTTGCAAGAAGTGCATCCTCGTCGTTCTCCTCAGCATCATCGCCATCATTCTCGTCTCTTTTGGGGAGGGGCAGGTTGCACGATTTTGCGCGAGAGTTCCACAAGAACGTGAACAATTACGAGGATGATGACGCGGACGAGCACCGATGAAAGGCCTGGCTTGGCTGCTGTGGGACGGGGTTGCTACAGCCGAGTCAACATCTCAATAGTGTCCGTGGGTGGCAACCTTCTTTCTCTCCCGCTTCCTTTCCCAGCCGGTCGGAGAGTGCGTTTTGTTGGGCTCCGACACAGCCGCGTCCCTGCACCCAAGGGCACACCCCGCCCCCCTCTCCCGCTTCCTTTCCCATCCGGTCGGAGAGTAGTCCCCGAAACCCAAACCCTTATTTTCCAAGTGCCGTTCCATCCAATGGGAGCATGTATCTTCTCCTCTCACCAAAGGGCTCACACCTCTCCTTTGCCGTGTAGTTTCGGCTGTGCGGCTGGTGCGAAATTCAAGCTACATACATTCTCATCTGCTGTTTTCTGTCGCTTTTTGGAGCTGGAACCCCTGTATATGGCACAAATGCTTGATTCCTGTGCAGTCGAAGTGCGACAGGCTTCGAGAACTTCAGAAAAACGACAGTGCACAGCCCTGAAGCAATTCATGAAGACGAGCAGGTTGCACGGGAACGACCGCAGGAGCAAAGTGTCAGCAGAGTACACAGACGGTGTTGGCAAAGTAGCGCGTAGTACTACCAAGAGTAATGATCTGTTCGTATGATGACGTCTAATAGCTACACTGTAGTGTATTGTGTCCAACTGGCTGCTGGAGAGGTAGCTCAGGTGTGCTGCAACAATCCACAGTTCTGGAGCTGTGGTCCAGTGCTCAGCGATTGGCATCAGGAGGGAATATATGCGACCAGCGATGGGCCCTTAAGTGATGGATTCGATGTGTCTCTTGAATTCTGCTACAAGTATCGGGTTCATTCAGCTGCCTCTCTCTTTGGACGATCTCATGCTCACCCGCACGTGCTAACCGCTTAATCAAAAAATTGTGCACGGCAGTGCACCTGAGTGCAGCTACAACTATCGAGTACCACTGTTGGAGTAGCAGTTCGACTCCGTGTACGTAAAGCCTTGCCGCTTACGGGATCCCGGCTGTCTTTACCGGGAGTCGGCTTCCCCAGAGTTCCTCTGTGCAAAGGGCGCGTGACAGGGAGTTGCACGCCGATAGGTTCAGGATGCACTCATCCTATGTGAATGTCAGGCTAGAAAAGCCTGTCCTCTTAATCGCATGCAAAGAACGACCTTTGCACCATGGAAGGCGCAGGTAAGATATGTCTGCGTTTCTGGCACACGTTTAGAAGAACCCAGCGCCGCAGCTTCCCGCTCAGGGCACAGCTTGGCGTAGTGGCATATTTGCCGCATCCATCCTTCCTGCAGTCCCACCCCCAGCTTCTTCACGCCGCTCTCAAAGAAAGTGCAAAGCAACACAAAAATGCTAAAGCTTAAAGCTCTCTCTTGCACCGATCTGGCCCACTGGGCACTCTGCAGAAGTCGCGAGCCACAAACACTGTCGATCTCCGCCTGTACCTCTGAGGGTGCCAAGGCAGCGAGGTTTTGGAAAAGCTCCCCAAAGCATGGCTCCAAGCATAGCTGTGGGCTGCACCGTGGAATCGATCTCGGCAAGCAAGCTCGAGCAAGGACAGACGCTCGCTTCTTCGGGCCTGGACAAACAGGAATGGCACCTCTATGTCTGAAGCTTTCTACCTGAGCACCCCGGCGTTTTGATCTGAAACTGGTTCGTGCAATTGGCTCCACCATTCTCCAAGTCCGTCATGAGGTATAACTGGGCAGGCACATCTCAGTTTGCCGAAGATTCTCCACCTAGTCTCTCCGGTCTCGGCCCGCAGCTGCGTTGGCAAGGACACGACAGCTTAATACCTTGCAGTCCTGCCGCATTCAATCACTGAGCTTAGACGGATAAAGCGCAGCGCCCCAAGCCTCGTTGACTGCTAAAGTCGAGTCACTATTCCGCGTGTAGATGAGATGAACTGCATCCACCTGTCACTGTTTGGGAGATTCCACGGGAGCCTTTAGGCACCCTAACAAAAACTCTTGGGTTCTGGCAGGGCTTGTGGCGAACTGCATCATGTTCAGACACTCCTGTCCCAAACGCCCATGAGGGCAAGTCTCTTTCTCTCCCGCTACTGCACTCTTCGTCAGAGATGTAAGACACTTGACAACGACCGCTCCGATACTGCACATGGCAGGCACCAAACCACTCTTCGACTCCAAACTCAATGAAGGCACAACAGCTGTCGCCGATCCCCGATGGGATCTAGATAGCTTGCTCTAATTATGTGCGATTCTGAAGGACTAACTGCATGCACACCGTTCCATAGAGCTCTCGCATCATTAGGAAGATGCCGCAACATTGGCTGGAACGGTTGTCTACGTCCTTCGACCACTGGCTCCCTGACGCGATCTCTGTGCGGTTTGGTGGAACAGAACCGTTCATGTTTCTGCGAAGTTGCAGGCCAAAAGTGCCACCTGCAGTACACAACCACGGCAAAACAAGTTGCTAAGCAACAAGAGTGCACAGGACAGGCAGTGCTGTTGTCCCAGCGCGGATAAAGCAGCCAAGGAGAGCAAACACACAACACGTGGCATTCCCCTCTGAACCTGGCGGCACAGGTTTAAACCGCTAGCCGCTAGCACGGCTCGGGACTGCAGGCCGAGAGGTCGCAACAAGGCTTCGGACAAGAACTTGTATACGACTGTCCTGCGTGCACGGCACAACGACGTGCGCTTGGTTTGCCAGTTTCATTGGAACGACAAGATGGCCCGAGCTCCTTCCCTGGAAGGCGCTCACAAAGAACCCTGCGTGTCATGTCGATGCTGCTGTTGCGAGCTGCGAGCTTCGGCAGATCGTCCCTACATTGACCGCGGGATGTGGGGCTTGCCAACGCAAGGCTGGTCATGATGGCTGAGCTGAAATGCACGCAACACTGGCTCGCGGCCGAGTCGCATCCACGGCGGCAGAAGGCGCAAGAGAGACAGAGAGAGAGAGAGCGACGGGGAGACGAAAGAAGTACAGAAACAAGGAAATCGAATTTGAGCTGCCTCCAAAGTAAACTGACATTTGCCAGTGTGTAGGGCGCAGCTCTACTGAGACTTTGAAATGGGTGCACTTGTCTGTCCTGGTTCAGGGAGGCTCCCACGAAGGCCTTCATGACGCGGATCTTCCCCAGTGAAAGCTTCAAAGTTCAGGCCCCACCGGGCCTGGTTGTAGGACTTCTTCGCAGTGTTGGCCTCCTGGAGGTTCACACGGCCCCATGGTGAAGCAGACATGCAAACAAAATACCAGTCCTGGTACCAGGTAAGGTTCATCGCATCTAGGTGGGCAGTCTGAAGTTTCTTGAAGGCAGAACTACCGACTACTGGCTGTTTCCGTCACACAATCCGGTCTTATCCACCCTGCGCCAAAGACTCTGCAAGCTCGACTTTGCTGCCACACTGCATCCACTTTCGCAAGCCCTCGTGACAGCTGCTGCCGAGATACCACCGAAACACTCGCTTGCCGGGCAAAGGAGCAGCATATCCGGGCAGTCTTCAGTGCACAACGTCCTGGAAGCAGCTCGATCCGGAAATAAAACATGTCAAGCAGCACAAGCTGAAATTCCCTCAGAAAACTCTCAGGCCCTGGCCCGTTTCTTCTCACCTGCGATTCATGTTCAGACTTCTGAACGTGTCACACGAGATGTGATAAAGAGCTTCTGCAACTGGCGAATAGCAGCTAGCATTCACTATCAGGGCAGCTGGCGGACCAGTTGCTTGGTGCGCATGCATCGGTCGCTAAGCCGTGTGTGTTTCATGTATACCTTCGAATTGACAATCCCTCGAAAAAGATGCAGCTCTGCCTGGCAAAAGGATTCTGCTATCCGTGGCAACGTGGTCACTTGCATAATGCCTCGACCCAGCGTGAACTCCGATAGCACGTCTACTCTCGCAAGCCGCAAGAACCCATCTTGATCTTAGCACGTAACCGGTCGCCAGGTAGAAGAGGCATGCCCTCCATCAAACGTCAAAAGAACGCGGGGTCCATGTGGCCAGGCCGAGCATCAGGAGTTCTCAGCCCATGACCAAAAGAAGTAGCCAGCAGTGTCCGGCACAAAGATGAACTGTCAACGATGGCCACCCAAAATGATTGAACCCGTCTCTGTAACCCCAGTGCAACACTTTGCTTCTCGCTTCACTGCTGCTTGCTCTGTACAAGGAGAGCTTGCTTCACACGCCTTGACGATCCCGCTGACTCTCCTGCGTTTCATAGTCTCGCGACTTGAGAATGATTTTAGCCCGTGTAGATAAGTAGAGTCTTACCAGATTCTCGAGTTGTGGAGGCTTGCCCCTCGTCGCGTTCCAACTGGCATTCATGTCGCTGCCCTGTGTCCTGAAAGCAGCTGATTTGGACCGCTTCCCATCATCCTGCCGCGCATCGATGCTGAAAACGTCTTACAGCATATTAGCACCACTGGATCTTAAACCACTCCAGACTCTAGCACTGAGACCCATCTCCTGCGTCATCTTCAGCTGACATGGAGAAGGACTTGACAAAAGTGTCTAGTCTGTCTGTTGTGTCCCGACGTGTCTGCAGGTTCATAGACGTTCATGTCATGCACATCTTCTAGCTCGCTACGGTAAGATTGCTCAGATTGCTCTTTTCGCGACACCTGCGCATTCGCGAAGCTTCCACGTGGTCTGCAAAGGCTGCGGATGTTGAACAAGGCGCCGCCAACAGCATCTCGAGGTCTCGATGCACTAGCCATCACTAGCCCTTCCGCAGGGCCAGTTTCTGCCGGATCATGGCAAGCATGGGCGCTTTTGGCGATGCCAGGAACCAAACAAGACAGACAATCTGGTGAAACACAGATCTGCAAAGAGCTGCCGGTATTTTTCTTCGCGGCTGTAGTTGACATCGTCAAAGATTACACCTGAGTTGCACCTCACCTCCGCTCGTGCGCTGAATTGGTTTTGCTTCTTTCAGCTGACTGGTGGTAGGGATTTGAAGAACTTGATGGCCGCTGCAGGAGAGATTGCGTCCCCTGCTGTCTTTGTCTTCCCGCCTGGAGGTCATCTGCCAGCAACGACAAATCTGCAGGGTCGACAGGTTCGTAGGAGCTCTCTGTGTCTCGCATCCAATGTTCAATGTTCTCCCTCTTCACAAAACTCCCAAAACTCCGCTTCCCAAAAGCTCGCCAGCGTCTCCCGTTGGCGCCTGCTGTTCCTGAGTGTGAATTGGAAGACTCTGCTCTGCCATACTATCACCACCTGGATCTCGTGCGGAGGACGACGAAAGAAACCACCCTGTGGCCATCCCCAGTCCCTAGCATTCCACTCTTATTTCAATCAATGGCTTGCAATCGATGCTCGGCTTGCTTGCTGGGCCCGATGTTGGTGATGCTGGTGCTTGCAGCACGCAAGGCAGCGATGAGCATCGGATTTCAAGTGCTCACAAGTCATCTGTGATCAGCGTAGATCGCCCCAAGGCCGACTCAGAGCTCCCTTGCAATGGGCGGCCAAACGCGGCCTGGGAGAGATCGCAGACTCACCTTCGTGCTCCAAAAACTACATCCGGAGCACCAGCTAGGTGCCAAGTGCGTCCTGAAACCTCAAGCGAGGTCCAGGCCGCTATTCGTTGGGCAGACGCTTGAACCGGCAGGGGCTGCAAGTTCGGCGAGGCATTCAATAGCACCTCAGCCAGAACATCTCGTGCGCCCACTTGCCATCGGCTGAGCTGGGTAGGGAGCTTCAGCTCCTCCATGGCATCTCTTGAACATGGTCTGCCTAAGTCACAGAGGGACTGCAGCACCGGGGTCTCTGCAACTTTCTCTTGGAATTCCTTCAGGGCAGCCTGTCGTACACGCACGCGTGCCACCACCAAGCCACCCAAATGGAGAAGTCCATGGCTGTCCAAGACGTCCATGCCTCCTGTCGATGCGGCATGTGCTCGGTTTGCTGCGGGACCTCCCCCGACTCTGCAGGCAAAAAGCAATTGCATGCTGGTCTGGTGCAGGAGGTCTCTCAAAAGTGTGCACACGGCACCATTATAACCTGCTGTCTCAGCTGCACCTAGAGCACTGGTCAGGCCAATGGCATCTAATCGCTGTTTCGTGCGAACCACAGCCAAGGCTTCCATCCAACGAGAGCTGTTTCTGCATGATGTCAGAAATGCGCCATTCCCAACGGCACCAACCTCCCAATGGTAGTGGCCAGATAGTAGTTGTAAGGCAAGTTCCCAGCGCGAGGCCTTTTCACAGGCACTGAGCGTGGTACTGCAGCTTACGGAATCAGCTTGCTCTTGTCTGAGGGCTGCAGTCAGGAGGTAGAGTGCTCTGGCCCAATCGTTGGATTTCTCGCCTTAGCAGCTCGTGATAGATCGAACGTAATCGCTAGGAAGACTCTGGGAATCTCCTCTGGGTATGCCTGGGTACATGCACTGATGCAGGCGCTGAAGGCGATCGCATCAAGCGGGAGACCCGCGCTCGCCATGTCTTCCATGAGCTGCGAGGCTTCTCGACTCCGCCCGGCTTTCTCGCACGCGGTGATTGCCTCAAAAACATGTGTGAGCCTAGCGCCTTGAGATTGAGACACGAGGCATCTGTACAATAAGATCCTGACAATGCTGAAGCTTGCAACATCCGCAGCCGTCGCTCCTTGCACAAATATTGCAGTGATCCTTACTAAGTACTACGTCAGGCTGACCCTCGGGACACAAATGCTTAGGCTCGCAGGGAGCTGCCTGTTGCGAGCGTCGTCGCCGCGAGCAGTTCCAACGCACTCCGCCATTGGGCTGCTCGAGCGCAAGCTGCAAGAGCTGCATTGTGGTTTACCACGTCCTTGCTTTGCCAGTCCCATAACGACCAGGTGCCAAGCCGTTAAGACAAACTTTGATTCTAAGATCCAGGTGGCTGTTTGTATCCTCAGTGGACGGCCTGCCTTGAGAACTTCCAGCGCCTTTTCCCACCTCCAAAACTCCATGATGTGAAACAAGGCGAAATCAGAACAGGCAAGTCTTTCCCACCCAGGCCTGGCAGCCTCCGTGCAGGCTGCAATCACAGCATTCAGAGCTGCATTATCAAACTTGGCCACCAGATCTGAATTTGGTCCCGCATCCATGTGGGCAGTCAGCACTCCACAAGCATGCCTCGGTTTACGGCAGATCTCCCTGGTCAAGTACGGCACGAATGCTGTAAGCCTGTAAGATCCTGTAAGCCTATGCATCCTCGATGTGCCAGGCCACTTCCACTTGCCTGCTTTTGCCATCACGCCCAGCACGTCGCGCAGCCTGCAAGCAGAGAGATACGAACAGTCACGAGCGTCCAGGACAGGACAGTGCAAAATGAGACGAGCAGCAGCTGAGATGCATCCTTCTTCGACGTCTTGCAGGGCGACTTCTGCAGAAGCACAAGCGCCATCCTCAAAGGAAGCAGGGAAGTAACTGCAGCGGCCGCACACCACGGGCTCTGGGTAGCCGGTGATTCGAGTGTGCTTCCCGGCTGTTTCGCGACAAGGCACTGCCAGTTTGCTGTCCGCCCGAAAGCCCGAGCAGCTGCAGCGTAGCATCCAACATCACCGTCTGGTTGCAGCAGCAGCGCCTCAGCCATCACGGTGACATGGCGTGCCGATGGCCCGTGGCTCGTCCTCTGTAAGCTCCCAACTGTCTGCCAAAGGCTGGCCTGCCCGCTTCAAAGTTCGCAAACATCAGCACGTTGCTACTGTTCCGACTTGGGCCTTCAAGCATGCGTCCATGGCAGCACGAAGCATGGGCACAGAGTTGTCAGCCGCCCTCGTAGGCACGAAGACTCGGGCTCATGGCTCACCAAGTCGTGCAGACCACTGCGCCTCTCCAGGAGAGCCAGAGCACCCACCCAGTGGCTCCCGGCGGCACCTCTCAAGGTCGTAGGCTTTGTTCTCGTAGAGCTGCTTAGCCCGTACTTGTAGCCCAAAGGGCGTGGGGGAACTGCGGGTGCTCTAGTTCGGAGAGGCACAAGCTGCCGCACAGGCATTCCAGGCCACGGCATCTGGAAGCAGCGACGCGTCAGGAAGCTCCTCTGTCAAAGCCACCAAGGCCCTGACAAGACAGGTTCTATTTCCACTCTTGCCCATCGCCTCTTCATCGCATGCCCAACCTCGACCACCGACTTGCTCGGATCAGCGACGAGGCCACCACTGTGAAGTCCTTCGTGCTGCGCAGCCATCCGTGCCTCAGAAGGGAGCATCAATGGCCACGTTCGTTCTGAATTCCGTGCCCCCGAGAGTTTGCTTTTTGAGGCCTGTCTGGCTGCTTCTGCGGGTACATCGGACATCAATTCTCCTGCCCTGATAAGAAGCCAATGAGTTCACACTCTGGTGCCTCCCAGGTCCCACTTTCCCCGAAAAGAAACAGCATGGTAATACAGCAGTGGGCCTGCTGAGCTCCTCAGCTGCATGGACAACTGCAGCCCGCTTTGAAACGTCTTTCCAGAACTTGCTCCCTCCATCTGGACGAAGTTGGGCGAACAAGGCTTTTCGAAGTTGTGCCTCCTGCTTTGCATGCCGCTTCGGGTCTCCTGGTGTCTCCCGCCGCAGGTCTCCCTCCCCAGTGCCACAGGAGTTTCTGGAAGTGTCCGCGGGGCGCGAAAAGAAGCTCGGACTTCGCACCGCAAGGCGCAACGGAAGCAGCGAAAGCTGCGCAAGCCGCGCCCGCCGGCACATTCGGAACGAAGCGCGGCGTCATTTGGTGGCATTCTAGGCATGCAGGCGAGCGGTGCACTGATTACTCGAGCCACTTCCTGGCCTCTGGCTTCTGCACTTGCTAGCACAAGCAACGGATTGCCGAGGATGCCATGCACCAAGGACCGAAGGCTTCAGAAGCGAGCAGTAGACCGATCAAATCCCGATTGCAGCTTCGTGCAACAGACAGAGGAGCCAAAGCTGGCTGATGCCTGTAGCTTGTTGAAGGCAACTTGTCTGCTTTGCTAGCAAAATGACCAAACCTAACCACAGCACAGCGAGAACCTACTACCCAAGATCCGGAAATTTACCACAGTCCAGACAGTTTGAGTCTCGTATCCTAATACTTCAGTCTGCGGCGTCTTTCTGAGGGTCTGTATGTTGTTGCCATTTGCTTGCGGGGGGTTCAACATCGCTCACCAGCATCTCTGAATGTTCAACTAGCCACATGAAGGGTCGATCTTAAGCTCGTCCACAATTTTGCGAAGAATCTCCACCATAACATATCCTTTATTCATACTGTGTTCGAAGGCTCCATTAATTCTTGCAGGACAAGAAGCTAGGCAACACTGGAAGTTGCTGTTTCCCTTCACTGCTTCGGCTGGTTCCTTTTGGCTGGAAAACCCTTGCTCGTCCGTGCACGCTGCTTTTTCGCTACGATGTGTCTAAGCGAACCCATGGGCCCAGATCACTGCATCTTGCACTCTGCCTGCGTTGCGAGGCATGCTTCCCCGAGGCTGCTCTTGTACGATTCTTCTGAGTCTTGTGCAGACTCAGTGTTGGCCGTGGTGATGCTCTTCGTGGCCTTGGGCTTCCTGGGCTTGCACAGCTCGGGAAGGCTAGGCTGAGTGCCTGTCTTAGGCCCTCACTCGCCATCCTCCGAGGAGTCGTCTTTCGCAAGACCTCGGGGAACCGCCACGGCCCCTTGCGATCCCTCAACCAGGAAGGCTAGGCATCCGGCCAGGATCAGGCGCACGCTGCGACTTGTCAAAGGATGTTACGCCAAACAAGCTTGGCACGACAACCTCAGGAGTCGAGCAGCACGCGTCGCTGTTCTGTGGATTTTCGGCTCAGATCAACTTGGAGACATGCCCCAGTTCCTGCCGCCGGGGCTGGAGGAGCTGCAGCACCCTGCCACATTGACATGGCATGCGACCACCCAGCGGATCTAGCGTTGCTGAACTCAAGCGAGTCAGAAGCTCTGTTCCCGAAGCGTGGGAACCACCTGGAGCCGGCTCGTCAGCTGGACGCCTGCTGATCAATACATGAGCAACAGCCAATATTAGCCAATGAAATCTCTACTTATGCGGCAGTGGAGCTTCTAAGCCGGCTTGGCCACAGTTGTCCTCCGGTCTCGCTTCCCGTCTTCCAACGAGCTGGGGCACTGGGAACCCGACTCTGCAGGCTTCTCCGCCTCCCCAGGGCGCTCCTCAAACCTGATGCTCAGCACGTGCTTGAATGCAGCTGAACCTGGGAAATTATCTTCAACAGTGCAGAAAGCGGACGGATGCAGGAGTTCCTTCTTGAAAGACTGTCGAGGCTACTCCTTTGCGTCCAAGCACAACGGACTTGCAACTTTCTGAGGCGAAGCGAAGCGAGGCACCACGTGGTAACGGAACGCAATGCAAACGCTGGCTTCTGCGAAGCTGGCTTTACCAGGATCCGCATGACGTCTGTGCTAGTTTCAGAAGGAAGTGATGACAGGCAGCGAACCACCTGACAGCCAAGCAAACCAACTTGAAATGCATGACGATACAGTGAAGTTTCAGCATGAGGCACGAATGAGATGTGGCTCACGAAGCCCGAAGCCATGACGGCTTCGTTTCTATCGAGCTTTGTCAAGCTATCCGACGTTATCCTCGAGCTCCTGGTTCTAGGCCACTTCCAGGCCACTGCGAGTCGAGCGCTCACTGGCACGTCACGAGATGAGACACACTTGCAAATGCAGCCGAAAGCGGTGGTGGCCGAGTCCTGACCTGGCTTATTGCTGAGAGGGAAACGTTCGTCAGGCCGAAACGAGGAAGTGAAGACTTCAAAACGTCGTTTCGATGTCAGACATTTTCAGACTGGCTTCCGCTGAACCCTTGAATCAAGGCATCCATGCCGCTTCTGGCAGGTGTCTGGCTGGGATCGCGGCTCCTCCTGCACATCTGTTTCGTACCTGCCCCCCGAAATTGTGCATGCACATCCCACATCCGGGTATCCACACAATGTCCCTCAAACCAAGCCAGCAGCTCCGCTCCCATGCCTTTGCATCCGCATAAAACTTGCTCGGGTCGAGGTCGTAGGCCTTTCGCCACTATGCGCGCGCACACACACACACACACGCACGCACACATGCAAGCCTGGCATGCCGTTCTCAAGCGGGGACTAAGAGCAAGCTAAGGGGCGAGGCTTTACAAAGTCATGTCATGATTTGACACGGCATCTTCCCTGAAAGTCATGCCTGCTGCCTTCATGCTATCTTCGGTTTTGTGGGTTGCGCCTTTGACCGAGCCGTAGCTCTATTGCAAGCGTAACCCGTGCCGGTGTCAGGTTACTGCCGAAGTAATGTTCCGCCAGGAGAGACGCCCTTCAAATCTTCCTCTCTCAATGCCCGGCAACGTACAATGACTTCTGAAGCTTACTTCTGGCTACAGAAACCTCCTCCAGACAAAAGTTCTGTGATTCTGTGAGAGCGCAACTTCAGCTTCCAAGACACATTCCGAGTTTGTGCGTGTCAGCAATGCAGAGCATGTTCGCGACACAGCTCGACTGGTCTCACAGCATGTTGACAAACGAAGCTACCGCGACAAACTCCGGGCCTTGCACACTTTGGCATACAGCACCGCCTCTTTGTCTTTGTACTTTTCTAGCAATGCCTTGTCGGGAGTCGAATTCCCATGGTAGGCATGTGTTGCCCAGAGACAGTCGACCGTCGTTAGCACTGCACTCGTTCGGTTGTGTGTCGGCCCTAATTCCAGGAACGTTAATCAATGAGATGTACTCTCACGCAATGTAAACGAAGAGGAATCGGAAGGTATTTGGAATCTAACTTCAGCCCCTCCTCTTCAGCCTCCGGCCTCGACGTTGCTCAGCTTGTGTGGATTGCGTCGCCGATAGATCGCTTCTACCTGAGTCGCCAAGCATCAGAAGCTTTCATGTCCGGAGCGACCCGACTTACCCGCCTGGCAACGCCAAAATGACGCGGAGTCATTGACCTCACAGTTCCCCTAAGTTCAAATCAATTTCCCTCGTTGTCACGACCCGGCCTCGACCGTGGAGGGCGGGGACTCATCGCCCTGAAGAAACCAAACTCAGCTCTGGGCAGCTACGCGGCAAGCGAGCTGACGCAAGACGTGGCCCCTTACAGCTTGAAGAGAGCAAGAGCCCCTTCAAGGACTCTGCGAATGCCTCGGAGATCTCTGCCGCGGAGCGCTTCATGACTGCCGAGGCATCGCTCAGTTCTAGATTCTGGAAAGTTTCTCCTTGTTGCCTTGCTCACGAACCAGTCCCCTCCGTATGCACGGGCAGTGGAGTTGATGTACGAGTAGCTGACTCTAAGCAATCTTGGTGCTGTGCTGTCTACACCTTTCAAGCTCGCCTGTGCCAAAGCTCTCACACCCAGCGCTGCAGGCAAGGAAGGGCCGTGGTCGTCAAAGACCCCTTTGGCACTTGATGTCTTAAAGCGCTCCGGAGGCTCTAGGCTTCATGAGCATACAAGCTACAGCGGACCCTCTCCGGCATGTTTTGGTGGCAGGACTGTCGCATTCCAGAAGCCGAGGCCCTACAACGCTCCTGCGCAAGATGTCAAAGTGTGGTGGTCAGAGCCGTTTTTGCTGAGAACTCTGCACGCATTGATACAAATGCCTCGTAGAATGTGTCAGTTCTGTTGCTCACTCAGCTGCTGAACAGTTCTGACCTTCGCGGTGTCCGTCGATGGCACGATGCGCAACCCTTCTCAAGAAACTCAGGGCTTCTCCAAACCGTCTAGAAATGCTCGGGAATCAGAGAAGTTCTGGGCACGGTCCCCATTCCGGAAGCTCCCGGCTTCGGCTTGGACCTGGCGTTTAAGTCCCAACTCGTCCCAAGCACGAGTGGCCTCAGCCGCACAGTTTGCACAGCTCTCTGCTTTTGCATCGGATATTCCGACACTTTGCAGAGGTTTCGTGGGATTCTGCTCCCAGCATAAACTAGCAGGGCTGGGAGCTATCAGCGGACTAGACCTTGCAGGTTGCACAGTGAGCATTTCTGAGCACAAAGCTACAAATCTCGACGACATGCATGAGCCCTCGCATGCATCCTAAGTCTCCCTCCATGGTCTGCAAGTCTGCTTTCCCAGAGCATGCCCAGGGGCCAGCCGCCCACTGAGGGCTGAGCTTTGGAAGAAACTTGAGCAGCTAAACGGGTTTAAAATTCAAAAGCAGGGGAAGGCAGGACGGGAAATAAAGTAAAGCTGCTCATGCTCTAGCTTGCACGGCAGCCGGGTGTCCTGCCTCACTTAGAAGGTGTGCCTCTAAATCCTGTCAAGCACGGCACTTCAGCACTCAGCACTGACTCGAGAATGGAGCGTGCCGGGAGTGCCTTGCAGCCAAGTGCCACAAGGAAGAAGTTGTGATTCCTGCGTGGTGCAGAACATGCGGCAATGTGAAGGGAACCGGAGTGAAGCTTGGATTCGCACTGAATCTCTGCATCGGCCAGACGCCTTCGCATCTGAGGCCTGTCGATGCAAGCTTGTGGCAACAAGGGAAAAGGCAATTCAGTCTTCAGAGCGTCTTGACATGGCCCCACCTGGATGGGAGAAGCCGCTCCAAGAGGTCCTTCGCCTGAGCCGAACTGCTTTGGAATCGCAAGAAATCCCCATCACAGCAGCAGGATACCCCCCGCAGCTTTCCCTCAGCCAGCACTCGCACATGTGGCCTCAGGGAGAAGTCGGCCGCTGCGGCAGCAAGATTCCAGGAACTCCGTCTGCTCCGCATCGGGCAGCCTGGAACACCATCTGCGAGTGCACAGGGTACTATCCAGTCTGGCCGCGAAAGATGATGCCAGGGGGCCTCCTCGGCAAGATCCACCTGGAAACTGCGGGAAGGCGGGAGATGCGGGAGCTGCTCTCACACAGAGGAGGGCTCCTTTGGCTCTCTGAGACGGCCCTGGCGCCCCGCCAGCTGAGGCCACGGCAAGGTGTCTCCATCCCCTTGCTCCAAATCGGCGCAGTCCTCGCCCAGCAACATCACGTAGAGTGTCACGCCAAAGCTGTACCTACGGGGGCCAGAAGCAGAAGCCAAAGTGGCTGCGCAAACACCAAAGTCCGGAGAAAGTCTCTAAAGGTACGCATCTGTCTTGAAGGGATCGAAGCGCACATCTCTCATGGCGCCTGAGTTGCGGATGTTCATCACGATTGCACACCATGCACACCAGCACGGCATCCAGGACTCCCGGCCCTGCTCAATGGTGGACATCTCGCTGTCGGACTCCTCCCCGAGGACCAGCTCAGGAGCAAGAAACCTGCAAAACAGTGAACTTCGAATCCCCCCACCAGAACGTCATGCAAAGAGCTCGCCTGGCCTTGGGGTGCCTGCAATGGGCATGGAGTAGTTGGCCTTAGGAGAGGCACTTGGCGTGCAGTTGCCGCTTCTCATAGCATTGGCCACATATCTCCCGGAACACGACTCAGCAGAATCGAATTGAGCCGAGGGAGGCTCGCTGAAGAAATTGCCCCCTACGTAAAGGGCGAGCCCGAAGTCCGCCAGCTTGGCCTCCAAGGCACCGAGCAAAGCCAAAGCCGGCACAGCACTGGGACCTAGCCACAAGTTGCCGTGCCTCGTCCTGAGTGGAGAGGAGGATGTTTTCCGGCTTGACATCTCGGTAGATGATTCCCAGCACCTTTCGGCAGCTTTCTCGTCAGACCTCTGCTACATAAGCCGTGTGCTGAGCCTCGTGGAGGTGGACCAGGGCCAGCAGCACTTGTCCGGCGTACCTAGCAGCACCTCGAAGGAGCGTTTCGGGACTCGGCGGCGGGGCAGCTGGAGACAAGTCTAAGTTTTGAAACTGCTCAGGCGGGGACGACTCACCGGCAAGCCCATGCGACGCTCGCTCCCACTCTCATGCGTATTACACAAGAGCAGGTTGAGGTCTCCCTTCGGACAAAGTTCCAGCAGCAAGGCATAGTAGTGAGGCGTCTGGAAGGCCTGCTCTAGTCGCACGATGAAGGGGTGCCCCGCCCTCCTCAGGGCCACCACCTCTGAGTAGGCCTGCCAATCGAGGTTGCGCTTCGACTGGAGCTTCATCGCAAAGCGTGGGGGCTCCAGGAACTGCTGATGATCGCTCTGACTCCGAGATCTCCCAGTCAGGGACATTCTTGACCGCAGAAAGCCTGATCTTCCCATGCCCGGATTGCTCGGAGAGGCTGCGATGGAGGAGGCTGCGCCGTCGTCGAGCTCCACCTCAATCACTGTGCCCGAGGCCCCTTGGCCGAGCTCCCGCACCTTCCGCAGAGACGAAAGCCAACCGGCCACCGGTGCTACACGCAGGAATGCCCGAGCAAAGGCGCCTGCACCGTGGCCAAAAACCAGTGCGCTTACGGAGTGGAGCTCGTGAAGTTGGGGCACATCCTCTTCCAAAGCCTTTGGGAAGAGTCTCAACAGATGTCGGCTCATAGCCAAGTGGGTCCTCACATTCCGCATCGTGCCGAAGACCTCGTGTTCGTCGGCATTTCTTCTCGTGCCCCTGTTCGGCTCCAAGAGGAGAACTAGGCGACGAGCCTCATCTGGGCTGAGCCTCCGCGCAGACTTCGTGGAGGCACGGAAAAGGAAGGATGGCGTTTGGCTTTGGCCCGCTTCGTTCGACGCGACGCCCGACGTAGGCTGGTCGGACGGGACACCTCCAGATAGGGGTCTCCAAAGATTACCTAGAACAGGCAGTGCGGCAGCTGACCCGACCTGTCTGCGTTTCCGGGGGCACCAGGTCAAGGCCGGCAGCCGCAGCAGCCAAGGCACGCAACTCCTACCCGTGAAAAGCTGTGGGAAGTGCGGGGGCCGTGGACGGGAACGCGTGGGGTTTTCGCCTTTGGAACGCAGCCAGTGAGGCCTAGTTGAGTAAAATCTAACTGCAAAGCGATGCCTAGATTGGAGGGGGATGCAGCTCCTCACAACTAGTTTTCCTGGAGATTTCGGAGCACGAGGCCACAGAGCTAGTCTGTGCATCCGATAATCACAACCTCCCAGAGACGCGAGCCTCGCGGCAGGCGTGCAACACCTGGCCATCCCGAAACGCTCCAACTCCCACAGAGACAGCTCTAAGGCAGAGCACTAATTTTGGGATAGGTGTGGTTCCACTGTGGTTCCACAGAGTGGTTCCTCTGTGGTCCCAGGCCTGCGATGCACCTGGCTGACGCACGAGGAACTCCAGAGCCTCCAGCGACTCTCCAGCTTTGAACTTCTGTCGACATCGACCTGAGAGGCCTCGAGCTGCAGATGCCGCACAGCGTAGTGGATGCAAGTCCTGATGGGTCAGGTTGGTACTAGTAGTGGGGGCGGAATGTGAGTTCATGCGCTCATCTCCACCTCTGTTTCAGCCCAGGGTCTCACGCTTGGAGTCGCGCACTTCCATGCGGCCACCACAAGACATGATCATTCGAAGTCCCTTCCACGAATCAAGCAAAGCAGCAAAGCATCAAGCATTTTACAGTGCCAACTGTCCCTTCCTCTCGAGCTTCCAGCCTCGACGAAGCCCTCCTCCGAAACCCAGTCGTGGACATCAAGTGGTCAGGGTGTGAGGAAGGTGGGTCTTGTAAGGGCAGGGGCCACTGCGCAAGAGGCTCCTGCGCCGCCAGCATCGCAGCCGTTACTTGCTCGGAGTCCTGAAGGGTTGAGGTCAAGCGTTGAATCGATCAGTCATTGCGACAGGAAAAAGGAAGTAACCGTGACTCAGACCAAGGTTATGCTGCTTGCCTTCGACGGTCCATTCACATCCAGAGCTTCGCCAGCCAGCCCTGTGTCCAGTAGCTTTCTCACACGAGAAATTTTGTGATTTAGAACTGCAGTGTGCAGATCATCTCCGGTTGCGTTGATCATCGGGGTCAGCTGCAAGGTTTCGAAGATCAGGACGGACGTCGCAAGTGTGGCGAGGATCGCCCAGCCACGCAGGTAAGTTTGCAGATCTCTCCTGTCAGGTGCAACTGATTTGATCTGTCGGAGCCAGGGAGGGCCGGAGGGCCCAGGGAAGGTCGATGCGACGTCCTCTCCAAGCTCTCGCCCCAACGAGTCACAGCATAGGCAGTTCCGCAGACCAGAAGAAGCTGCAGCTTCCGCCACCTGGAAGGCGCTACACCACTGCAGCATGGATTGAACATGGCTGAACTTCCCAACTCCGAGCTTTGACAGCTTTTTTCGGTCCCACCTCCCGAGGGCGAGGCTGATGTGTCGCGCAGGATAAGAAAAGCCGGGCCGGTCCACAAACTTCGCCATGTCGGCAATCAAGAAGCCAAGTGCCACGAAGAAATGGATCGCCCAGCGCTCGCTTCGCGGCGAATACTTGCGGAGGATGAGCAGTGCTATCAAGAAGTCCACCGCAATCAAAGAGAAGGAAGCGATCAAGCCTGAAAGATGTAGCTCGAAACCGGAGACCAGGACGCAAGCCGTCAACAGGGAGATCCTGGCAACTACCTCCGCGATACGGTAGATGATGTGCACAACAGGGTACAAGATCTGCAGGACGCCGACACGCGAGCCACGACGGCGGAAGTCCAGATGGTAACGTCGAGCCACGAAGGCCGAAACCACAATGTCAATGTCAACTACACATATGCTGATCACTACCAGGGCTGAGAGGATTCCGAATGCCAGTATGTACGTTTCAAAAGCAGACTTGGGTTCGCACCACCAGATTGAAGAAGGACTCTCATCCGATTCCACGTTCAGGCACTGCTTGGTCAGGAAGGCGTACATACACACCGGAACCTGCAGCATGCAGTGTGTCCCGAGCCTATTCTGGGCAGGCTAGCATATGAATTGGTCGTAAACTCTGGGAACATTGGCACCAAACCTATGATTCATGAGGTCCAGGTTGCAATAGAGAAGTTAGTGATCACGGCAACTGGATGCCCACGTTCACCCCCGAGTACAGGCGTTGTCCACATGAAGTCTCTGTCGTCCAAGCGGTCCAAGATCTCTCCACTCCGAAGTTGCCGAGCCCAGGCCCTTTTCACGTGAATGATCTGACAGAGGCCCAGGAACACAAAGGCCAAAAAACCGCAAAGGATCCGTCCGCCAAGCGATGCACTCCGAAGCCGCCGCTGAATGTCGGCATCCTTCCAGGTGATGTGAACTGACAACAGTGCCCCCAGGATTTCGAAGGGAAGCTGCCAGCCGACCAAAAGCAGCTTGCGATGCTGGGCAAACAGAACCATGCAGTAGACGCGCAGGATGTTGTTTGCAAGCACAGCTGAGGACACCACGAGGAATCGAATGCTGCTATGCCAGTGGTCTACATCTGGATCACGGCCTGCCAGCGTTGAACTGATGCACTCTCAGCGAGCAAGGGGATATTCAGGCGCAGTGTCACTAAACTTACGGGAGCAACTACGGCAGCCTGAAGGCCCCCAGGCATCCTTAAGCCTAGGCCTAGGCCAAGGGAAGCAGCAAAACGGCGGAGCCCGCGCGCGCACGCGCCCCCGCACGCGCCCCCGCACGCGCCTCGCTCCAGACCCGAGTCGGCCCCGGCCACGAGGCTGCGCACAGCCAGCATCTCCTGTCTTCAAAGCGCAGCTCCCAAGCAGTTCTAGCTGATGAATATTGTGCTGTAAGCGTTGTAGAATCATCCGGTTTGAAGTCTTCTAAGGCTCCGCAGGTTAACAAGAGCTCGTGCCACAGCCTAGGAACGACTCAGCCAACCTCAAATAAGAGCAACAACGAACCTAGATTTTGTCGACACTTGGCAGTCTGGCTTCTGCATGGGCAAAGCCTTCACTCTCTGCATTCCCACGCTTCAAGCTGCCAAGTCGCAGAGTCTGCTGAAATCATGGACCATCGTGGGGATGGGAGAGAGGATTGTACCAGTGCCTGCCCGTGTGCTGTCAATTTTTCTTGATGCCACTCCATTCACTCATCAAAGCGCTGTCGAGTCAGCGCGCCTCGCTTCGGTCTCTCCAGGAGGACGGTCGGGAATCCAGAGATGACGAGCCGGACATTTCGATCCCGCTGCCCCTGACTCTGCTGGACTGAGAGGAGGCTGCACTGGCCGGCAGTGACATGGCACGACATAGGTGAGGTTGGATAGAGGCACACCTGGAATTAGGTTGAATGTTTATCTAATTCTAGATAGCACAACTTCATAGCAGAGACAACTCCCAATCGCCTTTGGTGCTATAATGAAACCTCAACGAACCCATAGCACATCTGGGGTGTATTGCACAGGCTTGAGCTTCAAAGTCAGAAATGGAGAAGCGAGTGAACAGCGACGTAAACTAGACCATCACACGCTCCCAATGCTTGAGAGTCCATTACGTTCTGCGAATGTATGTGACTCCACAGCTGGCCACCTGTCGCTACGAAAACATGGACGGCCTTGCTGCTTTGGGGCAGTACATGCTGCCCCTGCACCCCATTCAAACTGTTCCGGGCCAGATGGTGGTGTCACCCTCAATGCTCGAAGGGTTCGTTGCGCCTTTCCCCACACAGCTGACAGATGGATGCGCCATATGCTGCCAAAAGGCATCCTTTCATGCAGGCTCTTTGGGGCCTTGTCTGCGAGCGGCTCTTGAACTGCCACGAGTGCAACCCCTTGTGCATAAAACACAATGGAAACAGGAGATTGAATAAATAGCCTTTGCGGTTAATTGTTCTGGCTTCTGCCTGGACTAAGTGTTTTGTCAGGGTGTAGGAAAGAGACAATTACCTCGAGAGCTTTTTGTCGGTATTCTTCCGCACCCCTGTCCGGACAATTAGCTCTGCGGAACCGAAGCGAAGTCCACGAAGCGAGGTGCCGATGGCTTATTCTTTTCCGGAGCACCGAAAAACAACTAAATCCGGAGTCAACTGTTTTCGAAGACCTGGAGCAGACAAACAGTTACATCCAGATTTAACTATACCTGCAAGAATTAACTCCTGATTCAATTTTTTCGGGTTCTGGGGTTGACGGACAATTACTCATTTTTAACTCTTGTTTCCATTGACTTCCTGCATGAAACACGATGGAACAATCATGACGTGTCAATGCGTTGTTTGACAGTTGCAATTGGTGCTCCGGTTGCTTTTTACGGAAGCACCTGGGGCCGTCATGGGGATCCGTGCATCATAGACACCACCCAAACGTAGGCAATCCAAAACACCCGACCATCCAAAGCTTACAGCATCTAGCACCCGGGTCTTGCAGGCAGCGGGCGGTGGCATGTAGGGCGGAGCATCACACCCTCAGTGTCCCAACAGCCCAATGGGTGTTGTGCGGTTCGTTTCACTTGTTTCTGGTGATTTCGTACTTCCCTTTACTTTCCATTACACATCACCCAGCCGGTGAGAAAGTTGAAACACGTCGCGGGGACGGCTACGCAAAAGCAACACCCATCAACACTGGGCAGGGCACATGTGCCAGTTGCAGCTCTTGATGCTGCAAGAATCTGGGACAGCAAAAACGCAGCTGCCAACTCATGTTGCAAATCTGAACAACTTGGTGAAGTTCAATCGCTATCAGCCGACCATTCGCTTGGCCGAAGCTAAGACAGCTGCTCTCAGCTCGAGATACTCAACTTGCTGATTCCCAAACCCCTGGCTGCGCCCACCTTTCTGTGCATGGGCTGTGTCTTCGTCTGTGCCCCAACTCTACTGCAGTTCTATGCATGGCATTTACGAAGCTGCCCTTCAAGCACAGAAGACCCGCTGCAAAGAAGCGTGCTAGCTGCTAGTTGGCCTCAAGTGGGACCGAGGTGAAGCGCTGCGGCTCGCTGCAGACCATCAATTTCTGTTCGAGCTTTCCTGCCTCCTGTTCGAGCTCAGCTGCGTGGAACGTAACGAAGCAAGCGGCTGCAAACCTTCGCGAGTCACTGCAAGAGCGTCGCACACGCAGATTGACCGTGCTGCTTGGGTTACCAAAGCTCACACGCCTTTGCCACAACCTGAACTGACCAGGACTCGCCGGGTTGCCGTAGGATTAGCAGCCGGCCTCTTGTCTGGGCAGTGCCGCATCCGCAGGGCCGCCAGGTCCGAAGCTCTCAGGGGCCAACCAGGCAAATCGCGCCACTCTGCAGACCAGGGCTGTCTCACTCCATTAGTCAAAGGATCGCATCGGTCTCGGTGGTTGCCTGCCAGCTTCCAGTGGCCAGTAAACTCTGAGGCTGGAGAGCGGAGCACTCCACAAGCATTCTCATCATCGGCTGCCGTGATGTGCTCGAAAGAAGCTGCAAGTCTCGAGATCGTCAAGTTTCGACGTCGAAGGCCGCGGCAATCACTGCCCGGAAAACACGGGCAGCCTCACAAAAGCAGTGGGATTCCGCTGCAAGGCGGCTGCGGCACAGCGAATAAGTCGGAATGCTCCAAGACATCAGGCCCCGCAGTAGATCCAGGCCAAGCATGGTAAGGCGCAGTGGAAGGAACCAGGGCCTCACAAAAACCAAAGCCAACGCACCGCCCAGCTCCAAGGGGCCTAGTAGCCTGAACCTCCAGATTCGCCGCAGGACAGGTCCGTCAAATTCTGCGAAACTGCTCCCAGCATCTTGTGGACTTTGCATGCGCAGGTAGCCGGGAGCTTGGCAAAGCGACTTCAAGCTTGCTTGAAGGCGCTGCTGCACCAGGTAGCCGATCTCCTCCTGGTCCAAAGGTGCGGTTCTGGAGAAGCTTGCGAAGGCTTTCGGGCTAAGCTCCCTCAGCTGTGCTCGCAGGAAGCTTTGGCGAAAGCGGGCGCAGCGCTCGGCCCAAGACACGAGCTCCAAAGCTGCAAGGCTCAGGCTCACCTCGCCCTCCTCGCCCTCTCCAAACCAAGCATCCAGCAAATCGTCAAGGAGTCGCGGAAAAGGCTCCAGGGCCTCCGCCAGAGCGGGCGAGCAAAACCGAAGCTGTCGCAGCTCCTGCCTGAAAGCAGGCAACTGCGTAAGCGGCATCAAGGAATCTTCGGTTAGGACTTGCCACGCGTCATCCGCCGAGTCCAACCAGTCCCAGCGCTGGCACTTCTGCAACAGGTCGAGGCAACCGCGCTCTGCCAGGAGCAGCAGAATGCGGAGGACAGGCTCTCTGCTGTCCTTCGAAGCACAAAGAAATCGCCCACTGGCAATGTAGGCAACCGCTCCGGTGCAGTCGAGTACGGTTTGGGACAACTTGCCACCCGCCGCCAGGAGCAGCTGCAGTGGCCGAGCCATTGATGCTGCATATGACAAGCACCAGGAGCCCAGTACAACTGGCAGCACCCCATGCAGCTGTAGCTGGTTTGCAATCCTCAGAGGTCATGGGCCATGCTCTGCCCTGGCGTCGTTTGTCGTTCTGGTTGTGACTTACAAACAGCTTACTGTGATTGCAACAGGTCCGAGAGTCTTTACGAAATCCTGCTCTTCCAAAGCACTGAGCTTTGGAACGAGCCCAGAGCCTTCGCGAAGCCGCTGCAGCAGCAGTTGCTCCGAGCGAGTTAGCAAATACTTCTTGCACAGGGCAACCAGGCGAATCTCTGCAAAGATGAGCTCCGTCACGCCGCACTCCGTGCCGGCCCCCTGCGCTTTATAGGACTAGCATGTGTGGAGAACCAATTGCGGACGAATCAGCTTGGCCATGCTCAGCCCGTGTCCGGCGGGCCTCCTCGAGCACCGGCAGCTGCGCCGAGAAGCGGCGCTCCTACCAGCGGCGTGCGGGTGCAGCTTACGCAGAGTGCGCTGTGGACAGGATCTCGTGTGTCCTCAGCCGAGCCGTGCAGCTGAAGGAGCAGCGCACGGGACCTCGATCGGCCCGGAGGAAAAGTTCGAGGCGCTCTGGCCAATACACCCGCGATAGTTCTCAGGCAGGAGTTCTTGGATGTTCTTGGCGCATGACCACCATGACACGTGTTTCTCGCTCTGATGCTACGAGCGATGTTTGAAAATCACCAGTATGACCAGACATAATGCACAACGGGCTCGAGTTTTTTGCACATGTCTAAAAACATGTAAACTTGCTGGTGCTTAGTGGCGACACTTTAAACTTCCTTGCTGGGGGTTGGGCGAAAGTCCAAGCAAAGACATGTAAACACATGATCTCATTCTCAGGAAAAGGTCTCGCACCCGTCTACATGGCATGTCAGCCGAGCAGATTTCAACAACTATAGCAGCTATGAAGAGGCTTCCGGCTTTCTCCACTTCAGTCCATTCTTTCACCACGAGGCTGTTATTGCATCTTTGGGCGCCCGAGCCAGGTCCGTGCATCCTCCTCCATAAACCGAACCTCTTGGCATCGACCCTGCGAGTTCAAGGATCTGGTGGCTTTTAGAGCTATCAGCTTTAGATGGGTATGCAAAAGCCTCAAGATCCTCTCAAATACTGAGGTGCGCCCCACTGCCACCCTCTTCGAAGTTTCTGGCAGGGTGGCCTCGAGCCAGCAATTCTTGCCTCAGAACTCAGATTGAGTAGAAGTCATGGGCGCCGTAGAGACAGACGCGACGAAGGCGGATGGCCGGGGATCGCACGCAAAGCCGCTGCAAAGAATGGAGAAGCATCGCAGAGCGCCTTGCCGTCACAGAGAAACTCCCAGACCTCAGCTTCATCTCGAAAGAAGCTGTTCTATCAAGCGGAGAAGGGC